AAGCCCCCCCCCCCCCCCTTCATTTTCTTCTTCTTCCTAGTGTTCTGCCTCCCATCACACAATCACGACTCTTTGTATAGGCAGTGCCAGTCCCTGCTCCCACGTAATTCCTACAGGCACCCTGGAGAAGTAATTTCCAACCAACAACCTTACAGAGAAGAAAGCGTACTCCCTCTGGTAATCTGGCTCTTTTCAGGTCAATCAGTTCTTCAGTGCCTTGCAGGGGTTTAGCAGGAACTAGACATAAGTGCCTCACACTGAGAATTATTAGCAACCAGCCCTCATTTCCATTGTAAAACACATTACAGCATTTCAAAGCTATGCTAAAAGTACAGAAGAGCGCTCTCCTATCATTTTTGTACTAAGCTACTAAGCATTAAGTAAAGAGTGCTAAACACCAACATGGTAAAAAGGTAATTAACATGCTAGCACCTATGAGAACTGGGTAAGAACTGCTCACGGCAGCTTTTGCAGTATGCACCTGTATGATTAGTTTTTAAGGAAAACTTTCATTTCTTTTTTGATCTGCCTTTTGAAGTGTTAGTAGAAAGGTGAGATTCTCTAGTCATACTAAAGCTCTGAGCAGGGCAGAATACATGAGGCCACTTCAAGTACAAGATAAATAGACTGAGCTGAACATCAGCCAGTTCAAATAATTCACAAAACCCACTCATCTGCCTGCAAAACAAAATCTTTCCTCAGTTCCTCTAGGATATATTCAGCTTGATTTTTCACTTTACCTGCCCTTGACATATAAACACTACTAAATAGTAGATTCCTTCCCAGATGCTGAAGAAGATTTAATCAGTAACACATATAGTTTGGATAGTTACCTTAACTTTCGTCTTGTTCTCCCATACCTTTCCTACCTCTGCCATCCATACCCATTCGACTTCTCTCTTTCTCTCCTAAAAGCCTTTTATTCTTCACTGTCTATTCTGATAGAAGGCCACAATGGGGAACAAGTTTTACACCTAACCTGTATGCAACCCTTTCCCCTAAAGTTAAGTTTTTCTGAAAGCAGAATCCAGAGAGCAAGTGTCCCTTGTTAGACTAACTTGGATTCCCTCTACTACAAGTAAAAAAATGTTATACTTCATTTACGCCTTCAGCAACATTTCATATCCTTACAAAATTGTAGGGAAGTTACCAATGTTCAAATTTAATCCAAGATTCCATTTCAACACAATTAGTAAACTAACCATTTAAAATGCCTAACATTTCAGGTGAAAGTATCTTGTGGGCAAAGTCAGTCAGTGAAAACGAGGTATCATGGGTTAAAAAAAAGGCACACCTGACAAATCAGAAAGCATACCATAAACACATTATCAAGGCCCTCTTCAAAATCTGGAGCTCAATTAGTTAACAACAGAGCTTGTTTAGGTTTTCAGAAAAGAAACCACCTTCTAAGTACAAGAAACGGGTACCTATATATCAAACTTCTAAGCACTAACAATGCCTAGAAAGCACTCTGCTTGCCAGGGTGAATACTTCCTGTTAGCTTCCCTATTGCCAATGCATATGAACCACACTTTTCATTTCAGATGATTTGGATATTGTGGTTGTTTCAAGTCATTTCGAACAAGAATAAAGTAGCACTGTTGCCAAAAGAAGCAATACTATCCCTCCTTGTTTGCAGCTACCTGTGCCATCCCCTTCCTTGTGCTGATATGAGCATCTGTTAGGTGTTCAGATAAAAATGGGGGGGGGTGGGTGAAATTATTTGTTACTACTTTTTTTCTTCCTAGCACAAGGGATGACAAGCAGACGAAACACGGGACAGGACTACTACTTTATTTGGCACTGACAGTTTAAAGTGACAGTTAAAACTATACTGTAAGGTAAACCTTGATGACATCATGCCAAAGTAATTACTTAACATGTCACTCTTCAATGTATTTGTAAGTAAGTGTTCATGACTTATAAGTGCTTGGAGAACAACAGTGAGTACACACATTACACAATGTTTTTGTGGTAAGCATACCACTGAAATCTTGTGACCCTGATGAACACAGACTTTTGACAATGTTTTCTGCAGAAGCTGTTACTAAAGTCTTCTAACATTACAGAGTCTCTTCTCTTGCAGATCAAAGCAAGTAAGAACTTTCTTGCATGAAGACTTCCTAAATTTTCAAGGCCTCATTTACCTACTAATTTTCCCTCATTTTTAAAAACTGTCATGAAAACGCTAAGCTATTCCCAAGATGTACATAAATCTAGGATTTCAGTACTTAAAAAATAAATTTGCATAACAAATATATTTAATATTTTGTATCAAGCTTTCAGCTTCAATACTTAATACTTTTCCCTGAGAACATTTATTCTTTGATTACATTCAAGCATTGGAAAAACTTGGATGCCCCAGAGCCAGATGAAATCTTAACATGGATGTTTGGTGGGGGGGGCGGGGGATGGCAGCTGGAAAGAGGTAAGTACAAAGCAAGGGTGCTGTCAATATTTCCGAAACATGCACAAAACCATGAGGGATGGTAAGATGGTATTGACACTGCAACTTTTCTGTCCCTTCCTCAGCAAATCCACCCTTTCTATCACACACAGTACTTCTGACTGAAGTTCCTATGTACTGCAGCAGAAAACACCTTAACAACCTAGCCACTTCAAAACTTTTGTTGTTCTTATTGTTGCAGCAGAATGGCAACCAATGTGATTCAGAGTCCAATTTCCATTATTATTGAGCCTCTTCCCTTTATATTTCAGGTATATACTTACAGCAAAATCATTATTCTAGAGCAAGCTCCAAGTCCAAACTATGACATTGTTTAATTGCATGAGCTAAACGAAAAACGTTTTTATAAAAGCCTGATGAGTTCAGAAAGTGGTAGCTGATTATAAACTGGAGAAAAGTTTAGACAGCAAATGGCTGTAGCCACTCTACAATTTGCCAATTTACTACAGACATCTGGTTTCTAAACAAGGCAGCACTTACAAGAAAACTTAACCAAATAGATCCACTGTTTATCCCCAACATTACTCTAGCTGACAGTGCTATCTAAAAAAAAAAAGTAATGAAAATGAGAAAGAAACGTAAACCTGAATATATTCCCAATAGATTTTATTGCTACATACTTTTTAAAGACTCAAAAAAGCTACTTTGTAAACTTTAAAGTTGGTCATCTGGCTCCCATTTGTACTGACTGCCAAAAATACATAATAAGGAAAAGTATGGGGGAGGAAGAAATGCATTAGAAATCCAGAAAAGTGCTGCTTGTAGTTCAGATGAAAATTCTACACCTGGACAGTGTTTACTTAGCTATCTATAGAACTGACACAGAACTTTGCTCAAAACAAGTATTTATCGTGAAACCAATTTTTCAATAAATTGCCTAACAAACCATTCAACGAAGCATTTAAACATGAATTACTTGTCTGAAAATCTCAACACACACAATTCTAAAAGTATTTTTTGTTTCCAGAACTCTTCAGACTGAAACGTTTCCATTTCATACTTAGGTGAAACTTCTCTAAACATATACAACTCATAATGAAACATTTTATTACTCATAAAATGTGACTATTATGGTATACGTATGTTTTGGCTCTACCTCTGTCTCAGTCAGAAAGCAGCTGCTTTGTCTCTTAGCTAAATCGTTAAACAAAATGGATAACACATGCCTTGTTATAAACCTCTAGTTTGCACAATTAATATTTGATTTACAGAAAAAGCCTTAGCAATTATAAAGAGTAAATCACCACAAAGCAGAAAGCTACCATTTTAACAAGTAACATCAAAAGAAGGATGAGCTAGACAGACTTCACATTTACAAACGTTATTCAAAGTACAACCCCCCTGCTCCAGGATATTACCTCTTACCCCAGGGAAAGAATGCTGGCAAAGCATTTTTTACCCCATGGAAAGCACTTTTAAGACTGTCAAACTTTGAAAGAGTATTCATTTCAACAATTTGTGTTTCATAACTTTACTCTTTTATTAATCCACTTTAGGTCAACATATAGATAAGGATATCTGGTTTTATGACAATCACAGAAGAACTTTGAATCTGCTAAAACGGTAGGTGGACTTTTTTTCCTAAAAGTATATTAACCTAAAGCTTAAATAAAACACTTAATTACCGTAAACAGGAAAAAATGCTGTGTAAAGATTTGTTTTAAAAATTCTTGTGTATTTAACATGTTCTAAAGATTATGTTTGTAGCCTCCTCCCCCTGCCCGAAAAAGTGTACAACCTGTAAAAATTCAGGGGGTGTTAAATTATCTTCTCCTGTTTACTTTCAAATGTAAAGACAAAGACAATGAGAGATCATTGTTATAGAGCATTTAGGTCTGAAAATCATTATTTTGACAACCGAGAAAAATGCATTTGAACCTCTCTCGTTTTAATTAGTTCAGCTACCTACATGCCAAATGTTTCATAAAATGCTTTACAAAATCCTCTTGCTATTAACAAAAATAACACGCTGGGAAACAAGCAAATGCAATTAAGATAATATTTTCCTTATTAGTTGGAAAATGTTGTTTATTATTTCCCAGTTTCTTTTCACATTAAGAACAGGTTTTATAATGCTAGAGTCTAATTAAAGGATATCAAGAGTTAAACGTTTTTCCACGTTCCTTATGCGTTAGAAACCCCTGCCAACTAGTCCTCTAGGCTTTAAATATTGTTTTGACGGATTGCATTTTCATTTCCAGTCACAAAGAAAATATTCTCCATAGTCAACACACGAGCAGATCTCCACCAGCTCAGTGAAAGCCAGATACATTGTTCCGTGCAAGAATGAAGACTTTGCAGACTACTTTTTTTTTGTTTGTGTTTGTACCTTTGGCAAATTCAGCACCACCTATACAGCAAGAATCACTCCAGTTTTATGAGTATGATACAGATGTTACCATGGGAAGCCTGATCCAACAAGATTATGAAATGCAATCCAAGGATATAAGAAAGGTATTTTATTTATATTATCAGTTTAATATTTTTAACTGCTAAGCATTGTTACATGCATGTATGCAAGTTTTATGGAAAAGTCTTGTAATAATAGCAAAACATACAATGGTTTCAGACATAGGGAAAGCCACAAATTAAAACCACAAAAATACTACCCTTGCTACAGTTTGAGAAACCCATAAAAGACAGGCTTTCACAAGTAAGACTAAAGCATCATTTTTAACTCTGCTGTAGTTATGTGCCTACTGTTGTAAAAGTTTCAAGAATGGGATATACTAGCACAACAGTTTGAGTAACATTGTATTAACACAGTAAGTTTGTTTAAAAAACAAGGAGGGTGATTTTATTTAGGAATTTTTTTTTGAATAGCAAAGTAATACTTGAAACAGTACTTTTTATTGGACATAACCTGCCAGCATAAACCACAGTTTCTCTTTTGACTTACCAAACTATCAAGTTTTGTGCCTTGGTTTTTCAGGGGTGGGTGGTTTGGTTTTTTTGCAACTCAACAGTTTAGCAGTCCTGAACTAGTATGGAACGTCCAGTCCTGCGGTAGTCACCTACATTATTAACACTTTGAGAGTCTTAAAGGTAGCAATAAAGACTATATACCTCATGACACTCGCCAGCACCCCCAAACGGTCAATTCCGAACTTTTTTTGCTATGTGCCACATACATGCCTTTTAATTTAAACACTTAAGCAGAGGACACAAAACCAGAAGAGAGTTAAATGAAGTGCAACAGCCTCAGCTGACAGGGACAGTTAAAAACCTCATACCTCTGTTCAGACTGACTCGGACAGGACCTCTCTCTCATCAAGAGAATGAGATACAACATTGATCAGGCAGACGGAAGAAAAATTAACAATGATTGCCCCAAGACTAGTTGCCAAGGAAAATACCACATATCCAAACAAAGCGGTAACAACCAAGTATTAATAAATTCAAGGAAGTTTTCATTAATACTAACTGTACTTGTTACAATAACTTAGTCTGATAAACAAGAAAAAAGATGACAGCAAAAGATAATTAATGTAAGTAAAAAATTGCAGCACATATATAGAAAAACCACTTCTGTATACCTTTTTAATATTTTCTTAATTCTACTTAAATTATAGCTTTCCACTGTTAGACTAAAAACAGCAGCTACATATTTATATTAAAAAAAAAGTCTAAGGTATTTTGAAATCTGACATCTGCCACAGTGATGAAGTAACATGTTTCATAAACCTATGAAAAAGAGACCATTTAAATGACTCTTAACTAATAGGTGGCTATCCACTCACAACTGAGTAAGTTTTTTTAAAAAATACTAAAAATGTTAACTTTAACTAGTTAGGCACAGTATCAGATGACATTCATTACTAAAATCGTTCTAATAAGAATACGCTACTGTTTCAGTAAAAAGAACAACAAGGAGTATACCTACAAGAAAATGGTGCCAACAGATGTGCCACAGACTAATCAAAGTCCGTACTGGCAGTGCTATAAACTAGAGGTCTTCTGAAGGCCAACAGTTCTGCTTAGGATAATTCTAGGAATGCAGTCGGTCATTATTTCCATCAGGTCAGTTCTCCAATTACATGTTTTCATTGCAAAATAATAAATTAGTTCCTTATGTGCAACAAATACATCTATACAAGTTCCAGTGTTCCCAATTTAAATCATGGGATGTGCAAACAAATCTTCTATTCATTTCTTGCACAAATTCTAGCTCCCAGAATATTTTGAGTGTTAACCGTAACTGAAATACATGCCAACAACTTCCTCAAACGTGCCCAGTCAGAAATCTATCTTGCATGACAAATTTAACTCCTTACCATGTGCTTCAACACACAGTTAGAAAAAAGAATTTTAGTGAAAACATCAGAAGAAATCTATTTGTGTTAGTGATCAACCAAATGAAGTGAACCTTAGTCTACTACTAAGGAAAAGGTCAGCCAAGCAAAAATTATTACGATTATTATTTGAAACCACAGCCACTCGTCTCGAATAAAAATATTAGAAGTTTAAAAAGATGAAATCTTAATTTCCACAACAGAACAGAACCATCCAGTTAGACACCATCTCTTATCTGGACTAATTCATTCCATTGAATATAAACTGTCAGCTTTATAGACCTTTGTGTGCTATAAAGATGAATGTTATTGGGGTTTTGTATGAGTAATTCATGTCTGTGGAGTAAAGTGCAAGAGGCAGGTGGAATTTAAGTATGTAAGTAGGCCAATATTCCTTCAGTGCATTCCCTACATATGCAGGTAATGAACTTTCTGTAGTTATAATCCAAACAATCTTCTGCACTGATGTTCCACAGTAGGAATTTTTATAGCTGACCAGGAAATACTTCTAATATATTGGTTATTTATACTACTTTTTTTTTTTTTTGGGGGGGGGGGATGTTGGGGGGGGGAATCTGTTGTTTAATGTTATGGATTTAACAGTATTCTGCAAATAATTAGTTTTATTTTTTGCTGACATTTCCCACTTGCAGAAATTAGTTGTACACTGTATTCTGCAAAGAACTCATATATACTTTTTCATAGATCACACCTCCAGTAGGATACTGTACTAGAAACCTACACCTGGTACAGATATGCTATGTCAGCAAACATGTTCTTCATACAAGCATATTAAAAAAGTCCCTTATGAGCCAAACACACTACAACAATAGAAGTGCAGTTGTTCTATTATAAGTCCATCTATGCAGAAGTGTCTATTGGCATGGATACCTCAGTCAAGGACCATGTCTTCACATGCCTAATCAACATATCTATGCAAGCTAAACATTTTTGCAGAAACCTTCTGTAAGATTTGCTGCTTGTTTGAGTCTAACTGTTCAGCTCACACCCCCCAGCTTCTCTACACCCAACACTGCAAAAGCTCTTACCCTACACAAGTTTCACACTACAACTGCTAAACTGTTGCCAACATTCTAACTTGGGTATAAAAGCCTTACTAGAACAAACCAACCTATCCCAAACTTTACACAAAAACAACAGTCCAAAAAGAGCCATAGCCTGAATAGACAGATGCAGGGAAGAGTCAAGGGATGGATGATTCACAGGCTAAAAAAGGGTCAAAATGACAGAGGCTGGCCAAGATATTTGTTTCTCAGGCTTTATGTCAAGCTTGAGGGTTTTATTTTGCAGAATACAAGAATTCCCCACAGTAAAATATATGCAAGCAACAAATACTAAATAAAACAAAGTTAGTATCAAAAGTAACTTTCATATTGCTCTAGTAGATAAACTATCTACATGCCTGAATGGGGAAGAATTTAAAAAAATAATAATAAAAAAAAATTGGTTCACTTGTGAGCACTCACAGTGCATAAGAAGCTCTCTTCAACAAGGGATCGTACTCCTGCCAGGGCCTGATCCTTAAGCACATTTAAAGAAAAACATCTTCTGCACCTGATAGTATACTTTTCCCCATGTGTTTTCAATAGCAACGCAGACCAAAAAGCCTATTGTCTTACTCTGTCCTACAACTATTCCCCATCAAAAAAGACAATGAATGATGCTAGCCAAGCACAATTGCCACAGTCAACCTAAAAATCCCCTTAATACATGCAAGTCATAGTATAACCCACTGTATGTATACTATAATTCTAGAAGTAGCATGTAATTCTGTAAAATTCCTACGGTATTCAGTGAAAACCTGACTACCATTTCCTGCATCACAAAAGGCCCTTTCTGTTAGCAGCCCAGGTGGTAAACAGACTTAAGTGCAGTTAATGGAAATGAATTGCTAAATTTCAGCCAGTACTTGAAAGGAACATGTTTATAAACTAAGGTGTCCTGCAATTGAAAAGATGCAATGACTACCTCAACAGGGAATTCTGAATAAGTTTAAATACAAAGAAATGTTATTTTACTGAGATTATTTGGGTAAAACAAAAAAAATACAACTAACATTCACAAGAATCCTATCAAATTTTGCATGATGTGCAAAATCTATCTTCAGAACTCCAGTTTTTTGTAGACACCCATTGCTTACATATTCCTTCCCACCATATAGTCTATACTTTCTCTCTATTTTTATTTTGTGTCTACTGTTCTTTCCTAAAGAACTTTACTTTTCTGAAGAACACTAGCAGCACCGTCTTTCCTTCTTGCCTTTCAAAGTGAAGAGCTCATCTACAAAAGGGATAATATATCACATTAGTCATCCAGCATATAAGAATATTTTAAAAATTAAATGTCATAAGGAGGTATGTCGTAGGAAGCTCATTTTTAAAAGTCCTGCTATTTCAGATCTTTGTAATACTCTGTTTTTTTGTTTGCTGTTTGTTTTTTAAAATAACATTTGCTCTCAACACAAAGGATGGAACAAATGTTTCTCTCGACACTTCCTTAAGACTGCAAGGGGATGACAGCGAACGCAACGTACCACCAACAAAGGATACAAGTAAGTTAATTGATACAAATACTGTAACATTTAAGCTCTCCAAAGGAACATATTTTAATATGAAAATTTAATATACAAAGGATGACAAGGGATATAGAATTTATCTTTTCATTTACAAATATCTTTCATATCTCCTGTGGAAAGTCTTCTAACTTCTGATGGAGCAGGCAGAAAAAATTTAAAGGATCCTCAGGTAAACTCCGAATACACAAAGCACAGCTTATAAGAATCTCTACAGACTAACCTGGTCACATTTGCTGTAGAGATGCACCCAAGTTAAATAAGTTAGACAAGACAACCAAGAAAAACAAAATACACACCCCAATAAGTTCCACAGTTTAACCAAGTAATGATGAAATATGATGTGCTTAAATTACTCAAACAGATTTCTTCGAAGAACTGGCTATTCTCACAGTTGATGATCTCACATCTGATGATCAGGGAGGTCAATGGTTAAAATACATCAGGAACATTCTTCACTAGCCTAAGTTTCCTACAGGCTCTGAGGTGTATTGTCCAGATTTCTCCTAACCACAATGATTTCTAAATGTGAAAGGAACAACGTGTCTGCCAAACAGAGCATTGAAAAAAAGACACACATTTCGGGTGTATCTGTGATCTAAACTGCCAAAAATAACTGATGATTCAGCCAGACCACTGGAGTGTCAATCTCCACCAAAGTTTTAATCAAGGTTAGTTGTTGCCAAATAGCATCTGTCAACAAGCCCCCATCAAAAGCGGAACAGATCTGTAAGAACACCAGAGCTCCTAGTCAAAGACAAGCATAAAAACTGTTGCCTTTTAAATAGCGACAACATTGTTTCACAATCATTTTCCATTTCCTACACTCTAGCAGATGACAAACAAGACACAATCAAAAAAGGCAAGCGGTGCAGAACTCTGAAGTCTAACAAATGGTACTATTCACAAAGATAAAGCTCAAAATCTCAATTCCATTCTCTGCAGTACTTCTGTAAGAAAAAAAAGAATTACTCTATTATACTTACTGGGTTGGCTTCCCAGTATTGACTGGCTACTTCTATAACTCTTTTCTGCTTGGGGAAGATCCTATTTTGCTACGTAGCAATAACAAACTACCTAGCAGTATGACACTACTCTTTGTACTACAGACAGACCAAGTTGGAAGCTAACCAAAAACCTCACAATACAGAAAACACAGTAGATCAGATAGCAGCGGTGATGAAGCTGGACTGAAAGCCATATTTATTAGATGTATTTTAATATTGCTGTCATACGGGATTAATGCAAAGCAGAAATTACTAATACTCTACTAATGTCTATGAGGAACAGGACAAGCCATAATAGGCTCAAACTGCATTTAAAAAAGATACAGAGTTTCTCTCATTACTTAAAATAACAGCTGTGAAAAAACCTCAGTTAAAAAACGGGAACAGATTGCCTAAAGTAATTATACAATCATAATTGCTGGAGTTTTTATAAAAAGAATTAGACAAAATAGTAGCTAGGAGTAACACAGTATACACAACCCTGCCAGAAATGTTCCAATGCAATTACAGTGTCAAATGCGTGTGTTGCCAGATGTTTCTCCTGCGTGGATTTCTCTTTTCAAAAGAATGGTTCTAAACATGACATCTAACATGGCCACAGAGTTGCAGTTTTCAACTTCACAATACTCTAAGTCAATTAAAGAGTGAAAATGAATTAAGATCAATTAATAGCATTTCAAGACATGCCCAGATAAGAACAGAAAATATACACTGGGAAATTATGCACAATAAAAAGAATACAAAACAAAAAAGTTCAGAATATTAAATCTTTTCAGAACTTGATGTGAATAGAATTTTTAAAAAAATGCAATGATGGGAAATCTTAAAAGATACTAGAGAAAATTCTATTTTGAATATTCAAGCTTAAGTTAGTTGAATAACTTTTAACTGTCTACTCAAAATAATTTGCTTTCAGATTTACCTACTTGTCTGCTCTGTGTGTGTTTAAGCGGATCAGTGTACTGCGAGGAAATAGACATCGAAGCTGTACCCCCACTGCCAAAGGAAACAGCATATCTTTATGCACGATTTAACAAAATAAAAAGGATAGCAGTCTCAGATTTTGCTGACATTAGTAAGTAACGTTCAAACTTTAATTTCCATTTACCTGATAGTATATTTGAAGTTGTTGTCCCTTAATAGTATGCCAAGATTACCAAAATAAGATACATTTTATACTTTGCTAGATTTCATTATGTGTATTACTTTTTAATCGAATGTTTGTATTAGAACAGGAACTGTGAAGGCAATATGGAAACCCATTTTGGCCCACATATCCATCTTAATATTCCCACACAATCAGAGAAAGAGCAGTTTGCTAAAAATAAAATTTAACTCTGCATCCCAGCCAGTCTTAAACGACCAGGTATTATTTTCCCTTCAGATGCTCCAGGGACATCTCTCCCAGCTATCTCACTCTACAACATGACAAATTCTATGAATATCTGAAAAACCATGTGTCCCCAAAAAAAAAAAAAAAAGAAAAAAGGAAGGATGCAAAGTATTTTCCTTTTTTTTTTTTTATTTTAAGACCATGAGGAAAGCCAAATGTGGATTTTTATCCATATTTTAGTAGTATTTACATTTGCAGATCACACTCAGGATGGTGCAGCCAACAGTGTAACATTTAACATATACAACCATACATGTTTCACGTGCCATGTAATTATAAATTCAATATTTAGATTTTCATTTCTTTTGTGTAAAGCTACCTTGAGAAGAATTGATTTTAGTGGAAATAGGATAGAAGAAATAGAAGATGGAGCCTTTTCAAAGCTTCTGCTATTGGAAGAACTTTCTCTTGCTGAAAATCGACTTCTAAAACTTCCTGTTCTACCTCCCAAACTAACAACATTTAATGCAAACCAGAATAGAATCAAGAGCAGAGGAATCAAAGCAAATGCTTTCAAAGTAAGTAAGAGACAATAATTTAGGTAACCAAAGAAAATAAAATTAGTAACCATTCTATCCAGTATACCACCAAATGAATTTTTCTATATTTTTGTAATCTAAGAAACAAACTACAGTGAAGACACTTTCCAGCTTTTGTTTTGTTTTTAAGGCACTTTGGAATAATAGACCTTTGTGCACTCATTTTCTCATGTCGTTCTCATAAAAAAAAACATTTCTACAAAATACCTTACCTAATTCCTTTCTCTCTTACATGCAAAGAAAAACTCGATTCAAAAATTGATGGCTCAAATACAGTCCTGAGGACCACATAAATACTAATAAACAAGGATATAGCTTTATAGTGCTCTTAAGTTTTATAACCAATAAGCCGACACTGAAATTTCCAAAACATAGGCCTGTCTATGAGTTTCTTGATACAACAGAAATCAACGTTCACAGCAAAAGAATGTTTCATGTTAGATCACTTGACAGGCTTTCTATGTGATCAGAAAAAAAATATTGATGTCTTGTAACAGGCACAAGTTACTTAACCTCAAGTAAGTAATATCAGCATTAATAATCTCCCTTTCTTTCTGTTAGAAGCTGACAAATTTGGCCTACCTCTACTTAGGACATAACGCACTGGAATCTGTTCCCCTTAACTTACCGGAAAGTCTGCGTATTCTTCACCTTCAGGTACTTTTTAAAGTATTTCCTTAACATTCTATTACAAATAGCCTCATTAGTTACACACTTCAAACCAAACCCACTGTCTTTTAAAACAGTTCACACTGTAGTTCTCCTACAGTTGTCTAATGGTCCTCCAAATAAAACAATTTACCTCTACTCTGTGTGGCCACAACCATTCAGCATTCCCAAGTTGTTTGTTAGCTAATTACTGTGCAAGAATTTCTGACTAGTTTCTGTATATCAAGGGTAGGAAACGGTAAAAATAAGCAATAACCTTTTATCAACGATACATTTCAAACATCAATAACAACCTCAAACTGCTTATCAGCTCATTGATTAGTTTGAGGAGACTTGATTCTTACATACCTATAATATACACAAATCAATCCCAATGACAACAAAATGGGAGGGTAAGAGGAATAAAATTAAAGTTTGAAAATTCTTCAACTTATATGGGGGTGTGTATATATACATGGGTGTGTATTTATTTATTAAAAAATGTTTTGTTTTGCAGTACAACAATATTACTACAATCACCGACGACACATTCTGCAAATCTAATAACACACGTTACATCCGCACAAGCATGGATGAGATAAGGATGGAAGGCAATCCGATCCTCTTGGCAAAGCATGTTAATGCTTTTTCCTGCTTGAGAACACTGCCTGTAGGAACATACTACTAGCCACTACTTACGTAATTATACATGCCAAAACTTAAACATGGTAACAGAAGATTATTCTTTTTCCTCTGTTTACATGTTTATATCCTCTCCCTTACTAATGCCGTTTACCTGCATACCCAGAACCTTTTACTATGTTGAAATGTGGTTCTCCTCTGAAATAACTGTTTCAAAACAGCCACTTCATTTAGTAGTTACAATGTCACCCATGCTTTCAGAAACTTTTCTGTTAATGAAAGTGTAAAAATACATATATGCACACACATATCTTCTCAACTTTTATTTCACCACATATTCTTTACAGGTAGGTAAAATCACACAAGTAACTGCTTGTTCACATTCTTTATCAGTACCCAGAATAAACAATACACTTTACTTTCAAATAAACGCAAAACATTCTTTGAGCAAGCTACAGAAGAAAACTACATCCTAATTCCAATCCCATTTTTTTAATCTGAAATGAAACTTTTTCAGTTGACCTTCGAAAGTGTATTGGATGAAGTTGCATACAAAAGAAAGTTATGTTTAGAAATAGAACTTCTCAAAGCTTAACTTCATTAAAGCTTCCTTAAAAACTTGGTTTGCAGAAAATGAGAATAATTCCTATTCAGGCTTAGTGTACCAAGCAACAAAGCAAGTGGAACTTCTCAAAGATGTGTTAATTCTCTTTCTACTATTCTGCTTTCAAAATAATGTAAGAGTGTGTGTATATATATAATATATATGTATTTGATTTTTACACAAGGTATTTTTAATTGAAATATATAAATTTTGCTCAGCTGTACTCACAAGAGTCATGTCTGCAACACCAGCTTCCCATTTTAAGCAACAAAGCAAGTGGAACTTCTCAAAGATGTGTTAATTCTCTTTCTACTATTCTGCTTTCAAAATAATGTAAGAGTGTGTGTATATATATAATATATATGTATTTGATTTTTACACAAGGTATTTTTAATTGAAATATATAAATTTTGCTCAGCTGTACTCACAAGAGTCATGTCTGCAACACCAGCTTCCCATTTTAATACAATGGTCCAGGTACAGCATAATATGACTCCAAGTATCTTTGTTATTAACATGATGTAGACTGAGCCTTGTTCCACTGCTTTTTCTTGACAAGGAAATGTGACAATATAATTAACAGCAAAGCTGAATTAATGTTTTTACCTGTAAATAAGTAAGATTTCAGCTAGATGCCAGTGCAAAGAAACAGAAGTACCCTTGTACAACAATACTTTCGCTCATTAGGGAAAAATCAAATCAGATCTTTAACACTATTTTTTAGATTAATGATAGAATCAACTTTTTTTTAAATTTAACTTCAAGAAAATTAAACTAGCATCATTTCACTCAACTACTTTAAACCATGCAGTGTATTAAAAACACAAATTGATGCATGCAGGCCTCAACAGTCAATTCACCTAAAACTGTACATAATTGATACAGGATGTGATGATTTTAAACAAACAACTTTATATTTCTGACATTTCATTTTCACTTTCCCCCCTTCAAATACCTAACACAGGCATAAACTCTTCAGATAAATGAATGTCAAAAGTGTGCTACTTACTATTACCAGATCAACTTCGTACTAATTTTGAAGCTAGTATAGATTCCTAATTTGTAGAAATAGTTAAGCATCAAATGCATGATGATGTATCACTACATCTAGAATACTGATTTTACAAGATATTTTGTATTAGTTTTGTTTATCTTATTTAGCTAAGCCTTGATTTGTTAGTGCTTGTGCTATGGGGAATTAAGTGCACACTTAATTCTGAACATACTGATGCTCTGCCACTAAGAGTGTTGAGAAAAAGTGACTGAAAGTTACTGAGGTAAGTGACTATGTCAAGCATCAACTGTGGGCTCATCTTTCTGGAAAGAGGATGCAATTATGAAATGCAGGACAAAAATATTTTTGCCCTGAATCCATTACCCGAGAAAGACATAGCAATCCCCAATATTTTCCATTTTAAGTTATCTGGTATAACAAGAAACAAATTCCATTGACTTAATACAACTGAGAACAAAACAAAGTCTTACAGTGAGAATAATACTTGGTTTTCATTTTTTGCATGTAAGTCATAAAACTTTGATGTTTCCAGGCTTTAAGCAAAAGGTAAAAAATAACCCCAAAGCATGTAAAAATACATTCCAACTTCAAGTCAAATTTATACTAGAAAAAATGAAAGCCACCAATTCTCTCATCCTTCTTTTGATAAATGTCTGAGATGGAGAAAAGACAGCTAGAAGTGTAAATGTAATAACGTTACATAAGCAGTGGCCTCTGATCTTATTCTCATCACAAATCATTATTACTAAATAAAGCTCTTTCCAGAATTGGTAGAATCGGTAAATATCACCAAAACTCTTCCTATGAAAACAATTATATGTGTATACACAAATATATGCACATTTATGTAATATATAAACACATGTAAACACTCTAAGACCTAACCACTACCACATTATTAATTTTACATTAAAATGTTGTATATATTTTTGAAAAAGTACTAAATATCAACAGTAACACTCATTAATGCTCTTAATATTTTGTGAGCAAACCAAAGTAGACAACTGGTACCTGCTGAATGCCTCATGCAGGCAATATATTACCTGATATGTTTTAATTTACTTTCCCCATTCATAGCAAGTTAACTCAGAGCATTAAGTGAGATGGGCTTCAGTAAGCAGGACTTTTTGCCTTCTATTTGTGTGACCAGTACTAATATCAAACTGAATGTACACCATTCTATTTTTTTCTTATCACTCATTTCTGTTCTGTATTTCCAATAAAACTTGAATTTTTTTTCTTGTTTATCAATATCAGCTTCAACAATCTGCTCTTCCAGCAATGCCAACATGCTTCAGTTGTTCAGCCTCATAGCTGACTAAGGGTGCGTCCAGATCAGAAAATTATTTGCAGATGTAAATCCATTTTGCAGACATAATATTTGTTGTGGCAATACAGTAAGACCTGCCATACAAGTAATGCCATACAAAAGACTTGTGGGACACTTCACTCACCCCTTCAAAAATCTATTTAAAGCACTTGTAGATTTTTTCGGTAGAATAGAGGAGAAGCAGCAGAGGGTAGTCATGGTATGCTCAACTCTTGATTGTGTGTGTGTGCATGAAGCACGTAAGTTGTAGACTAACCTGTTTCAGTAAAAAAACCACAACTGCTAAAGCACAGTATCAGGGAGTATATAATGCAGAGCACAAAATGCTTACAACTGAACATTGCTCTACTCACACCAACCTAAACCTGCCTCTGCTTTCTAGGAAAGCCTGCTTACAGTCAAATCAATGTATATTTTAAATTGCTTTTTGCTTAATTTGAGTTATTCATCCCACCATTACTCTTGTTAACTGTGAAAACTCTTGCTACAAAACCGCCATTTGTGACAGTCAACTTTTTAGAAATACTGTGCTATCCATCTTTGCTTGAAACTTGCAGTTATTATTCATCTCAAACATTCATTATTATTTGAAGTATTCAATCATTTCTACATTATTCCCTTCTTCTCAGGTACCAAAACTAACAGAAAAGAAAAAATAATCTACCTTTCCTGTTTTTACACTACACTGTGAGAAAACTATTAGAAGCACTGTCTATTTCTACTTAACAGCCTGAGTAATTTTCTTTTAAATAACAAAATAATAGAAAAGCTATAAACCCAGAACTCCACCTCAAATAGACTTCTCTCCAACACTGTGCACAGTTACCTGCCTATATACTTGAAGCCTAGCAAGCAGGTAGAAAAAAAAATACAAAGATTAAACTCATTTTTTAATGTTGTCCAAGTGTGAATATTAACAGGATAAGACTCTTCACTTGTTTTTATGCAAGTGTTAAAAACATACTTCTAGTCGCTTTCACACAAATTACTACAGAGTATTAAGTGACAAATGCACATTCTCCTTAGCAATCTGGTTACTGGAATTATCAGATTTGATCTTTGAACCCTTTACTAATTCTCACCTCAGAGTCTTCTATTTCTAAATGAAATCATTACTAATGCTAGCAGAAATAAGGCAGCCTAAAAAACTCTTCATAAGTCCATAGTCAATCATATTTGATAAATATTCTCCCAAATTGGTTTGCCTTTCTCAACAGCATCTTTGTCCATGGAAAGAAAAATACCTTTAGAAAGAATATTTGTAATGTTGACAAACTTGTAATATATGTCTTCAATGAATTTATCTTCACACATCTTTTAGCAATGAATACATCCCTTCATTGTTTACACTCAACATCTGAACAAACACTTTTTAAAACTGCTTAAGATACACATGACAATTTAAAAATCATCTCTAGAGCTATCTTTCTGGTTTTTCATTTTTGTACTGAATTTTAAAATGAGAACTATTTACAACAGTTCGCTGAATCACTGCCCCAGAAACCACAGCGACTGCTGTCTGAGGCTGATCTAAGGATCAGAAAGCATCAAGTGAAGTTGAAAAAAAACAATCAAAAAACCCACACCACAAAGCCATAAAGCCCTTGGTGCTCTGCCTTCTCTATGGAGGGATTAAAGACAAGTCCTTATACAACAACAAGCAGGATTAGACAACATCAGTTTATTACTCAGCTGAGGACAGGATTATTTTATAACATTTTCAGAAATTAGTACTTTTTTTTTTAATCCGGTTAATTGATAATAGAAATTGATTAATCTAGCACAGAACTCAAAGGCCTAAAAGATTCAAAAAATTGGAAACAAAGCAGTTCCCACTTCATACTACAGCTGAAAAGCAAAGATGGTGTTGAGTTTAATGACAGTAAATGCTTGAGCTAAATAAAACTGAACTAAAAAACTACGCACAATTAAGCAGCTAAACATCTTCCTCTAGCATTAATCATCATATAAGATGTTCTGTGTCTGTAAGACTGCAGTATTTTTGCTCCAAGAAATAGTTACGTTACAACCAGTACCTTTACACAAAGCAAACAAGCCAAATAATGGTAATTTAAAACTAAGTTCAAATACTATGTTCCAGTTAAGAGTGAGGAACAGTTTATTTCCCACTCAAGTACAACATTTCAGAACTGGAATTGCTGTCGCCCAAACACATGCTGCCACATTTTCAAGAGAGACAGATCCAGTCCTTCAGAACTAACATTGAAATGCCAAAGACTACAAATGTTATTTTCTTTTGATTTCTTCTTTTGCCATTTTTGTTGTTCAAAATGAAATGTAATACCAATGAAAAACTTACTCCCCCACAGGAAGGCACAGATATTCTTATTTTCCCCCATGTATGAGGAACACAGCAATAGCATGATAAAAATCAAGACAAATACCAAGCAAGGGCATTACCCCTTGAACACAACACAAAAATCTTCAGCTGACGTTCTCTTCTCCACAACATACAAAATTAAGATTCACATACTGCACTACAGTGCTAATTTCACCTCCATTGCGCTGTCTTAATGAACTACTTAAAGAACTTAAAGTACTGATATATAAAGACTTGCTAGACATTACCTTGAAATGCAGGAAGGTGCATCTGCGATGTTCATACCACTCAGCATAAGATGAAAGGCTTCTGAAAAACGTTAAAAGATTTCCCTGTTCTTCAGTGCTACAAAAGAAAAATATATGGTTTAATCTAAACAGTACTAGTCAGACGTACCAATTCTATAGCCTAAAATATGCACTTTTTCCCTTAAAGAATTCGTGATTAGTATGGTTCAAATTTGAAGCCAGAAATCACAAAAAAATTGTGACAAGAAAAGAAAGCT